GCACTGTCCGGTCCATCCCGTTCTGGGGCGCACCCAGCCGCCGGCGCGCTCGGTGCGTACTTGTGGCCGTGCGCTCGTCCTTGGCTGTTCCCTCCCAGTGAGAGAGACGTCACCATCTGGTCTCTATCTGCCATGCTCAAGGCCATGCTCCCACCCTCACTGCCATGCCTCACCTCAGACCCTCATTTTTTGGGTGCTCACGGTGCAGGGAGACCCGATGCCACTTGCAGAAGCGCGTCACTCGGCAGAAAAGCCCCTCTGGTGGGTGCGGGGGCTGCGTGCCAGTGGCTGTGACGTGCATGGTGCGAGGCAATAACGGTGACTGCACTCCAGCTGTGGAAATTTCATTCACTTCCTTACCACCCCACAACCCCCAGTTTCCTGGTGAATGCCAGGGCACCTCACTGCCTCCTGGGCTGGTCCTACCACCAGCCACCCCCCAACAAATCACCCCCTGCCCTGGTCATGGCTGGGAAATGTCTGTCCCTGAGCATCTCTGCAAAAGCCAAGGTGGGTGAAGCGGTTAGCCCCCAGGACCTGCTTCATTGGGAAAATGCTGACCAGAGCTCCCCAAGGAGCAGAAGCCAAGCTGTCACAGGGAGCTGAGGAGAGGCAGCTTGCTGTCCCACCAACCTTCCCTGCCATGCTGCAGGCACAGGGATGAGAAGACCTTGCGGCACAGCCTGGTGTGGAGATGCTCCTGGCAGGCTGCACCCTTGTTTGCAGCACCATAAGGCTGTTCCCTTCTCTGCCTCGGCCAGGTGAATGCTGCTCCTTCTTTACCACCAGCGAAGCTGCAGAAGGGCTGGAGGGGCTCCCAGGAGCCATGGGCAGTGATGTCTCTGCTCTGGCCAAAACCAACAGGAGCAGATAAAACCAAGAGGCCCCTCGATGTGTTGAAGGCTGCTAGCATGTAACCTTTCAGGCATCCAAGCCCAGGTGGTACCTGTTGGCTAGAGCATCTCTTTGAGGCTGCTCAGCCCTGCTTGTCTTTAGAAATGAAAGTCCTGGGCAGCAGGGACCCCAGGCTGAGTGTGACATGCCCGGTGGCTGTCATGCAGCCACATGTCTGTGCTCCCTGTGGAGACACCCTTGGAGGGGGAGACCCTGATAACCAGCTAGCACTGGCTGTCCTTCATGCCTTGTTGTTCCCTTAGGGCATTGTTCCCTTGGGCTGGCGTTGGTGTCTGGAGACCTCACTCATGTGAGATAGCGTGGGTGACAAGAACAGCTTTATTCACCCTGTGCTGCAGCACAGGGCAATAGCTCTGCTCTCCTCTCAGTGGCCCTGGCTGAGAGGGCCATCGTGCCCCAGAGATGTTAGTCCAGCAGCTCACAGGGCACACTGGGGACATGGGGCTGCCCCATACAGCCAGGACAAGGTGCCCTTGTGGTTAGGATGTACACCTATGCTTTAAGTGCTCTGCATCCTTCCTTACTTTGTTCCTGCACAGGTGAAATCCCTTTCCTCTGCTCCCAACAAGCTAGAAAGACACTGAACTACACCACAGCATAAGAGCCTTTTATCCTCAGGCACTGTAAGCAGACTTGTCTGGAATACTATTTACAGTAAAATCAAAGTCAGTTCTTTACCCCAAAAATACTGGGTTGCAGCCTTAGTCCTCTTGTCCTAAGATGCTGAAGACCAGCCAGATCACACCATAGCTTCCTCTCTGCTAGGAGCAGCCCTATGGAAGAAATGTGCTGGGGCCTGAAGGCACTTATGTGCCTCACTGGCCCTGAGCAGCCTCACCTGGGACCCCCACCCACGCAGTCCTGGGCCCCTATTTAAGGCCAGCCCTGGGCTCACTCTATCCTCTACTTGCCCTCTGTTTGTCAGTCCCTATGGTCTACACCTCAGGAGGGATGCACTGTGCCAGGGTTGTTGCTAGGGTCATTCTAAGTGCCTATCTCTTCCCTCATGGAGCAGCACCTAGATCTTGTTGCACCCTTGCAACCACCCCTCAGCTAGGATGGGGCAGATGTTGCTTGGGTGAGAGCTGCAGCCCCAGCCCTGCTCTTAGAGTAAGGCTAGAAGGGTGAGTGATGGATGGTGCTGCTGCCTGCTCTGCTAGAAGCTGCACTTGGGCTGACGGAGCACTTTTCATCATCTAAGGCTGCTGTCTCTATGTAACGGGCCGTGACAAAGTGAGGGTGGCAGCTGGGGTCTCAGTGCCTGAATTCTGGGGGGGGTGCAGGGGTCCTCAGGACTTTAATTCCGGGAGTTACAGCTTGATATGCTGCTCTAAACATCCCATGGAGCTGGGTCTGTGCTCCTCTGCCTTGCTTCTGCAATCAATTCTTGGACTTGCTCAACCTCCCTCTGTGTTCCTCCGCAGCAGCTCAGCCTGGGGATGGTCACAGTTGTAGGTGCAGGCATGCCTGCATCCTGACCTGGTTGTGCTGCTGCTCCTCTTTGCCTGTTTTTTTTCTATCCAAAACCTGTTTTACAGACTGAAATTAGGGTCCTGATGTGAGCGAGTGGGGACAAAGTTGCACAGGCAACTTTGAGTTGTTGATTAAACTCCCTTGATAATGCCTTTGAGCCTATTAGCATTGCAGGCTTGTGTGTATGATTTGGAAAGCGTTGTGGGAAAAATATTTCTGCATAGATTTCTCATTGTGCAGTCTGGAGTGGTGGTCAGTGGTGGGGAGGGCCAGGGCACTCCCAGAAGGGATTTAAGGGCAGAGTGTAACTGGGGCTGTGTGGTGCTCAGCCTCCCCATCAGCTCCCAGCTGAAGCAGTTTGCCCAAAGGATGGCTGGGGTAAGTAGTTTGTTTGCAGAAGAAGGGAAAATCATCAGGTTGAGATGCCCTGAGTGGGACCAGTGCTGTGCAGTGGGTGGGCGCTGCTGGGGGCAGCGGCTTTCGAGCCACTGAGGGCACACAGCAGCTATCCTGGGGCCTGGGTCTCCCTATGCCACAAGGGCTTACAGTACCCCATCCTGCAGGTCGGGGTGCTGGGTGCTGCCCCAGGGTGATTCTTGTCCCCTCTGAGCTCAACAAGATGCAACAGGGACCATGTGGCCCTGCAAGTCTTGATGCTGCCGGACAGGATTTCTGCATTTGAAGTGTGCAGCATGGACTTTGATTTGCTGGGGTGGGGAACTTGGAGGTCCTGTCAGCACCATACAGATGTGGAGGCATGCAGCCTCCCCCTTCTCCAGTCCCCATAGCTCCTGGGAAGGGATGGGCAGCATGAGGGAAAGCATATAAGTCCCAGATGTGCCATACCAAGCGCCTTGTTTGCCCCAAGCACAAATATCACACAATTTGGGGGGTTTGCTGGGTTAATGTCCCTATAGGTGACCCAAGCAAGCCACAGCATTGCTGTATGGATTGATGGCCCAGGGCACCCAGCACAGAGGTGATGCTTAGTGATGTTGTCTAGTGGTGGACCTTGCATTGCTAAGTTAATGGTTGGATTTGGTGATCTTAAAGGTCTTTTTCCAACCAAAATGATTCTGTGATTCTGTCTGAGCTGTGCCATTGACCCACAGTTACAGGTGCTGTGGGAGCATCTTCAGCTAAGTAGATGGGTCCTTTCTGGTGCACTTACAGGTCAGCGACTGCTCCAGGAGCAGAGCATCTCCCATCCCTCCTTCTCTGACCCGGTTTCTGCATTTCAAGTAGTGTCAGCATCAGGCAGCACACAGGGAGTCTGGAAAGCACCATGTGGATGGTGGGGGCTGCAGGGAAAATGTCCAGGCTGGGTTTGGGTCACATCCCCCAGGGCGGTGCCTGTGGGGCAGCAGCATCCTCACCCCTGCTGCTTTCCTCTCCCGCAGATGCCGTGCTGGGGCTGCTTGTACTCTGTTTTGAAGATGGTTTCTCGCAGAAAGCAAGTCCCAGCCAGGTCGGAGGGCTCCAGCCTTCGCCGCTGCCTCTCCACCGTGGACCTGGTTGCCCTGGGAGTGGGCAGCACACTGGGGGCTGGTGTCTACATCCTGGCAGGGGAAGTGGCTAAGACCAGCTCTGGCCCCAGCATCATCCTTTCTTTCCTGATGGCAGCCATGGTGTCTGCTCTGGCTGGGTTCTGCTACGCTGAATTTGGGGCCCGTGTGCCCCTGGCTGGGTCCGTCTATCTCTACACCTACGTGATGGTGGGTGAGCTGTGGGCATTCATCGCTGGGTGGAATCTGCTGCTGTCCTATGTCATTGGTACAAGGTGCTTTTGACCTCTCTTTGCTTTGCTTTGCGTTGGTGGCTTTGCTGGGTGTCATTCCTCATTGTTGCTGCCTGAGCTGCCACCTCTCCTCAGGTACCGCCAGCGTTGCCCGAGCCTGGAGTGCCTCCTTTGACCAGCTCATTGGCAAGAAGATGGGGAAGTTTTTGGGTGCTCAAGTGGCTGTGAGCTCTGTGGGGCTGGCAGAGCACCTGGATGCCTTTGCTGCTGGCCTGGTGGTCCTCCTGGCAGGTAGGGATGCCTCCTACTATGCTACTCTCCATCACATAGGATGAGCTCCTCACCCCACCATGGGCTCTTCAGGACGGTGTTGAACCCTCAGAGGCTTTGCCATTTCCCTGGGGAATATGAGTGGAATTGGGAGAAATCTACAGATCCTCCTGAGTCTCCACTGTCCCTCCTTTTCTACCCTCCTCAGTGATGTCTACCTGGGCTCAGACAGTTTTGCTCTTTTCATCCCCAGGGCTTCTTTCCTTTGGAGTGAAGGAGTCCACCACAGTCAACAAAGCCTTCACAGCTCTTAATGTGCTTGTCCTGCTCTTTGTCGCAGTGAGTGGCTTCATCCAAGGTGACCTGAGTAACTGGAAGCTCAGGGAGGATGACCTGCCACGGGCAGCTGCTCATGAGGCTGGGTATGAGAGGGTCTGTTCTGCCTTCAGAAGGGAAAGAAGAGGCTGTATCATCCCCCTAATGCTTTATCCCAGGAAATCTCACTTTCCCCCATTTCTCCTTGCCCCGTTGATAATGCATCAAAGAGGCAAAGTCCTAATCACTGCTGGGTTGATGCTGAAGGTGTGAGCAGGTTGAATGGGCTATTCAGTTTGTTCCCATCCTGGCACCCTATTGTCCTGACCCCTTTGCACTGCCTGATTCTTCTTCCTCCTCCCAGGAACCAGTCCATGACTGACAATGTGAGCAGTGCCTTTGGGGTGGGAGGCTTCGTGCCCTATGGTTTCACTGGGACCTTGGCTGGAGCCTCTACCTGTTTCTATGCCTTCGTTGGATTTGACTGCATCGCTACCATGGGTAAGTGAGGTGGGAGAGATGCTGGTGGGACCCTGCCCTGGAGGCTGGGGGAGGCCGTGGCAGTGATTCTCCTCACAACCCCTGGTGTTGGTGTCGGGCTGGGCTAGGAATGGGCTTACTCCCAGCTCTGTGCCACAGCTGCTCTCTCCTGCCCTCCATGCTCAGAGGAGGAATTGGTCAAAGTCCATGTGGCATGACTGGGCTGATCCTGAAGCAGAGAATGTACCTGTGCCCATAGCTCACTCAGTTCGAGTGTGGTGCTGATAACGCCAAGGTCGTGGGTTCGATCCCCGTTGGGTCCCCTTGTGTTGCCTGATCTAGCTGAGAGGCGTTTCTGCCCATGACAGGGAGGTTGGATTAAATGATCTTTAAGGTCCCTTCCAGCCTAGGCCATTCTATGATTCTATGAAACCTGGAGCCCAGAAAGCCTGGTGGTGTTTGCTAGAAGGCCTTTGTGTGCCCTCTCATGGGGGCTATATGCGTTATGCTCTCCAGCCTGAGCTGGGCCCTTTGCCATGCACATTAAATGAGCATCTATTTTTACAGCTGAGCTTGTCCTTCCCAGGGGAAGAAGTGAGAGACCCGCAGAGATCCATCCCTGTGGGCATCATCCTCTCCCTTCTCATCTGCTTCCTGGCATACTTTGGGGTGTCTGCTGCCCTCACCCTGATGATGCCTTACTACCTCCTGGACACCATGAGCCCACTCCCGGTGGCTTTTGAATACATTGGCTGGAGCAGTGCAAAGCACGCCATGGCTGTGGGGTCACTGTGCGCCCTGACGACCAGGTGAGGGGAGTCCTGTGATGGCAGCTCTGTCTCTCAGAGCAAGGGTGCACTGGAGCTAGAACACATCCAGGAGCTATCCTCAACCCTTTCCTTACGACTACCCTGCTCAGCCCAAATCCTTCAGCCCTTCCTCTCAAATCTTGTTTCGCCCCCAGCCCGGCATCTCCTGATCAAGGAGAGAAAACAAACTCCTTGGCATGCTCCTTTTAGTTCAAAGGTGAGGAAGCGGTCAAGTGTTTGGTGGCACTGTGACCATAGGAGCAGGCTGGGGTGTCTTGGTGTGCACAGGTCTCCCAGCGACCTGTGGACATCACTTCCCTGGTACTGTCCCTGATTTGATGGTGAGGGAGGTGCTGATCTTGTCAGCCTGGTCCTGAGAAGATCATGGCCTGTACAGATGAATGGGAGTTCCCTTGACACCCAAGTTGGAGCAAAAGGCAGGATGGACACCTCCTGGATGCCTGCCTTCTTGTCTCCCATCTCCTCTCCTCTCCACAGCCTCCTGGGCTCCATGTTCCCCATGCCACGGATCCTGTACGCGATGGCTCGAGATGGGCTCCTCTTCAAACCTCTGGCCAAAGTTAGTCGTCGTCAGTGCCCGGTGGTAGCAACACTGGTGTCTGGAGCAGTGGCAGGTGGGTGAGCGATTGGGTTA